CAAAGACTCCAGAAAGGATGGGGACCAATACCCGTATGACACTTATCACATAATCTTCCTGCCACCCTATTTGCTGCACTCAAAATTAACCAAAAGAAATTATTAGCATTAACAGTTTTAAAGACATATCAAACTCATCGTACACGTATATTATGTGAAGGCTGGCGAGATTAGAATTTAAGACCTCCTCGTACCAAGTAGGTGTCAAATTTTGTTAAATATCATGCATGAAAAAGAACACAAAAAAATAAAATTTATTGATTTGTACGATGGAGTGAGATTTACAAAGATGTCCCATAAGTAACGTTGTTTTCCATTGAAACTCCTTTAAATGGCGAAGAGACTTCTCTTTTTTACCGTAGTAAAAGTTTTTTTCTTTTCATGTTTTATCTTCACTGGTCTACAGAAACACAAAATTTAAAAATTAAAAAAACTTTGAAATGAGCTAGACTTACGCGAAGTTGAGAAAAGCAACAATAAAAACACGAATCCAAAGAGTCTTGTATTCATGTTTACGTGACTATTTGGCTTCATGTTTTTACCTTCGATCCTTGGCTAGCTAGCTCTACATGCTTCTACTCTTTTCCCCCCTTTTTAAGGTAATTCTCCTCTTTGAGTGGAAGAAATGCGTTAAATTAAAGTGATTATGGCAAAGTGCGTTAAATTTAAGTGATTATAGCAAAAAAAGAGAAACATAATAACCATCAGTTAATTTAATGCAAACCCTAATAAAAGTAAATTAACTAGCGCATGACTAACTGTAACAACTCAATTGTTAAATGAAATATAAACTCAAGGATAAATTACTCTCCTAGTAAAAAAAAAAAAAAAAAAAAAAATTCAGTTTCCAAAATTATTGCTGTTAAGTCGTTAATGGTGAAAAACAAGGGCACTAGTCCTTCCCCGTCGCCACCCGAATCCCGCGCATCCACCTTAATGCCAAGTGCAACGCCAAAAATTACTATTTGTCCAACAAATGTTTGCTGGACGAATCAAATTTTGTTTGGAAAAGTAACTTTATCCGACGGAAGAAATTAGTCAGGCCAACATTTAGGGTTTGTTTAGAATCTTTAAGCGAGGAAACCATTTTGACGGAAAAAATAAATTTCATCAAGCAAAGTTTTGACACCGAGGAAAAAATTGGAGAGTATTATGTCACCTATTTCTCAATGAAAATTCAGTTTGTCGACTTATGTGATATTGGCCGACACGCCATTTCATCAGCTAAACTAGAAGGTTCATCGGCCAAAGTGCAATGAAGATCTGCCAAGGAACCTATTGGCACTTTATCTACTCAACGACGTTTTTGACGTTATCTGACAAACCATTTCATCAGGCAACACCTTGTTCATATAAACAGGTCGGGCGACCTTGTCTTTCTCTTCTCCTATCTTTCTTTCTTTCTTTCTTTGTTTCCCCCAATGTTGCTCCTCTCTATCCTTTGCAAAAATATTCTCTCTCTCTCTCTCTCTCTCTCTCTCTCTCTCTCTCTCTCTCTCTCTCTCTCTTTTATTTGCTCAACGTTGTTTTTGACGTTATCTGACAAACCATTTTGTCATCCATGTTCATACAAACAGGCCCGACACTCTTCTCTTTCTCCTATCCTTTCTTTCTTTCTTTCTTTCTTTCTTTCCCCAGTGCTACTCTCCTTTGCCCCTTGCAAAAACCTCCCTCCCTCCCCCCTTTCCCAATTAATTTGTTTTTTTTATTTGTTAAATATTTTTTAAATTGTGTAATTAATTAATTTTGGTTGTTGTAAGTTTGTGAATGAATTAGAATAAATTAACGAAAAATGTATGTATTTATTTCTTAATTTAATTTTTTAGTAAACTTATTTATTTAATTGTGATATATATATATATATGTGACAGCCCATCCCGAATTATTTGTACCATAAGTGTGAAATGACATTTTTGCCCCTAGTGGGTATTTGTCATTTTGTGTGGTTGTTTTGTTGTTGGTTGGTTGCATCTGAACCACACATTCACCTCATCCCTATCATCTTTTCCTGTGTCTCTCTCTCTTCTTCTTCTTCTTTCTTCCTACGGACAAGACCCAAATCCTTTGCAAACATCATTGATCGAGGTGGAAAACCATACCTTTGTGTTCGTGGGGACCATACGAGTCCAACCATACCAATTTCAAGTAATAAATCCTTCAATTTCACGTTGAACCAGGGAACCCCGATTTTGGTCACTGTTCATGCACAAGTGAAATGTTGTTTTTCAGGGAATTTGAAGCTTGTAGGAAGTTTAGTGAAGTCCTTAGGAAGCTCGGGGTGGTTCGTTGGAAGGATTTGGACGTCAGGATCGCGAGTTGCAAGTTTGGCCGGTTTTTCCCGAATTTCTCCGACATGATCCCGTGATCTTAGAGGTTTCAAACAGGTATAACGTTGTTCTGCTCATCTCCAGCTTTCCATCGGTGCAAATTTCATTGAAATTGGTGAAGAAACGAGTGACAACGAAGGTTTTAAGTTTTTTTTTTTCCAGTTTTCCGGCGACCGGTGATTCGTCGGAGAAAAAGATGGAATATTCCGTCTGTTTGGACTGAATATTCTAAGGCATCTGTCAGATTTAACGGAATCTGTTAAGGTTTAACTGAATATTCCCGACAGCGTTAACTGACGCTGTCAGTGTACCTGGCACGTGGCCGCGCCTGGAAGGCGCATCTGGCCGTGCCTTGGCCGGCGCGTGTGACATCAGAAAATTATTTTAAAAATATGGGGATGTTCGTGAGGTTGAGTAGATCACGTTGGTGTATTCATACACCCCATTTGAGCATTGTTTGAGAAGTTATTACTTAGTTTGGTTATGTGCTTTAAATTGACGTGTTTATAGTTATGTCGCATATAGGCGAGACCTATCCCGAGGATGAGCGCAGTCATTCGAGGCAGAGGATTACGACCCTTCCATATACCAGTGAGTGGGTTTTTGGTTTTCCGTATATGCCTATACTTATGGTTTTTCCCAGAAAATGAAATGGAATGTTTATATGTTTTAAATGTCATACATTGCGTTTGCCTATTTATTTATGCATTAGTAGTTGCATATATGTATGTTTGGTGCTGCGGACACACAAGTAAATGTCAGGTAAGTTATGGTTTATGATGATGATTAGTAGTTATGTGATATGCATAGAGAGCTCATAACCTACACCCCCGATGTTAGTGCTCTGGCCTAGAGTAGGGCACAGTCCTTCACGTGATGTTCACCTCTCGCACCACACGCTCATCTTGGATCCAAGTTAGGTGCACAGTCCTGTCGTACGGACCACTTTAGGTGGTTCCGACTTGTAGGTGATCCACGATTATTCGCCCAATCTTCATGTGATCGTAGCACTTGAGCGTATTTATTTACACTCAGTCCTGTCATACAGACCACTTTAGGTGGTTCCGACTTGTGTGCAGGTATAGTTAGTGAGTTGGGGATTTGAGCTCTAGATTCAGCCGTACAGGTCACGTTAGGTGACTCCGGCTGACATGTTATTTGCATTAATTGGCATCACCTACTTACATTTTATGTGGAGGCATTCGACATGGCATATTTCTGAGCATATTTTCGATATATGTGTATTTTCTATTTTTTGGGAAACTATACAGGTTTTACGACGAGGGGTTAGAACTTTTGATAATGAAATGATTTTTAAAAGCTTTGTTTTTGCCCACTCACCCTTTCTGTTTTGTGCCCCTCCAGCTTCTAGTTTGGATTACTCTTTTGGTGGCTCACGAGGAATCCACAGCATATCTGACAGACTATCACCAGTGTAGGACCCCCTTCTGGGTGTGTTTAGTTAGTATTTGTTCCTTTGGACTGCACTAGGTTTTCTATGCTCTAAATATTGTTTTTCACCCTTACACTTGCACTTGGTTGTTAACTACTCTGTGTGTAGTTTGATTTTTTTTATTTATTCGTACTTTTATTATTATTCTTAGCTTTCGCATTGTGCACATGGTTACGTCACTCTCATGTGACGGTCAACATGCCCTGATTTCGGTCGGGGTGTGTCATATATATATATATATATATAGAGAGAGAGAGAGAGAGAGAGAGAGAGAGAGAGAGAGAGAGAGAGATTGTGAGTTATGTGAAATTTTGAATTTGTGTATTATTGAAAGTTTGAAACAAATGTAGCTTAGGTGAATTTAATTTGTGCAACATTATGTTAGGAAATCTCGGTGTGATATTTTGAGTTTGTTTGTTATTAAAACATAGGATCAATGCAAGCTACTCTAGAGAAGTTGCAAAAAAACATTGAATATTCTAAAAGGCGCTAGCTAGAGGGCGAGCAAAGGCCTCCTAGCGGCTAAGCGTCTTTGTAGGGCCTATGTAGGGACCTAGGTAGTCTAGACGGGTGCCAGCGGGCTAAGCGGTCACCTAGGTAGGTCTAGGAGCCCATTTATTTTTTAAAACCCTAGAAATTAATCGTGACTGTAACCAACCACCTAGCGCTTTGGCGGGGTAGCGGCACTTGTCGAACACTTGATGCTCTTACATGAATTTTTTTTTTTTTTTGAACAAACGATATTATCTACACTAAAGAGGAGGGAGTGGGCTTAACCTCACAATAGGCTAGCAATAATGTGGTTTAAATTCGCCTCGACGAGAATCAAACTTAAACTTTCTCACTTACAAGTGAAGAAGAATACCATTAGACACTACTAAGTGGCCGAATTTTGTTATTTATTTGTGATTTTCCTTGAGCATATTCAAGATGTAAATTCTTGAAGCACTTGCATCAACTTGGGATCCATTTGAAAAAAACCCTTATCTTTTATACACACAAATCTCAACTTCAAGTGCTCGAGATTAGAGGATGAAGTGAGGGTGCTTTTAGAAGTGTACGACCCATTTTGAAATAGAGACCTCAATGATCCCCAAAGAAAGACGAAGGAAACGAAGGTCGTCTCTCCCGAAGAAAAAAAAAAAAAAAAAAAAAAAAAAAAAAAAAAACACATCCGGATGTAAACTCAAGGACTTCAGGTTACAACAAAAGACCTCAAAGATTCGCAAAGAAACGATGGAACATCATTAAAACGATCAGATACCAAGCGCTAAACGATGGGTGGACTTTGAAAGCAACAAGATGCAATACATTTGAGAGAACTTTCAAACGTCTAGATTCTTCGTCTGGCGAGCTTGCATAAATTACGATAAACTATTGTCAACCAACCCTTCACTACTGTTCTAAGCTAATCAATACCTTACAACAAAGCAAAAGTACCTCAGCCTTACACCTAGACGTTACTTTTGTTGAATGCAAGACATGTAAGCTGGAAATCAATTTACTCATCTGGGTGTCCTATATTCCTCAAAGACAACTGTGGCAATATTGGAAGCCATTTTGCTTTTCTTTACCTCTGCTATATTGTTACACTGCCAAGGCAAATGAACGATCTTCACCTTCTTCAAATTCTGAGCATGCTCGAGGATATATTTTGCAAACTGAATTCTGTTAAATCCATTGCACAGCTCTATCGTCACCTCCTTAAGTTGATGAATAAAAGAAAGGTTTTGCAAACCCCAGTATCCCATGTCAAACCCAGAACACTGCAGGAAAGGCAACAATCAACTTGCGAATCAATTGAAAACACACACAGAGAGACATAGAGGCTAGACTTTTGCTTACATATTCTCGGTCACATGACCATTGATTAGTCTTTATCTCCAAAGTATTCAAATTATGTAGTCCTCCAAAAACGGAGACCATTCCTGGAACTAGGACATCACGGAAGCTTCCAATAGAAATGCTCAAATGAAAAACATATCCTAATAGTCTTGCCTTCAAACCCCCATTGAACACTGCCTACAAGTTAAAAACACGATACCCAAATTATCAAAAGGTAAATTTACCTAATCAGGCAAAGTAATCTAACAGCGTTCCAGAACAACAATTCAAACCGAACTAGAAACCTAACATCAGTTTTTTTTCTAGCAAGTGTGATTTTAAATTTAGTTTCAAATTAATTTAACAAGCTCTAACAGCCTTTCTAAGAAATAATACAGGACCAGATTGTAAAATACTAGAATAAAAAAGATATAAAATATTTAAAAGAGAAGTGTCTCGCTACCATGGTGGTCTCATGGTTTAGAGTAAGAACTTTAACCCTGCTTATACTGCAAAGAACCGCAGACAAGAAGTTAAGGTCATCCGCTTCAGGCATCAAAGAAAGTTCAGCTTTTTCTAAACACATTAGTTCCCCCAAATTTTGGCGCATCGACAAACACCCATACCACTTCAGATACTTAAGATTTGGAGCACGGATATTTAGTAATCTGCTGCCTGTAAGAGTATGTTCCCAGCTGATACATATTTCTTCAAGTTGCTCACCTGAGATGTTGATGTGGCAGGCACCGTCAGCCGAGTCAGCAACCATCACAAAACTAAACGATTTCAAAGAGGAGCTTTCAATGGTGACATTGTTTATTCCCTCAAGATATTCAAGATGTAAATCCTTGATGCACTTACATGAACTTGAGATCCATTTGAAAAAATCCTCATCTTTTATACAAACACATCTCAACTCCAAGTACTCGAGATTAGAGGAAGAAGTAAGTGAGGGTGCTTTAAGAAGTATACGGCCCATGTTCAGAAAAAGAGACTTCAATGATCCACAAAGAAAGACAGACAACGGAAACAAAGGTTGTCTCCTCCGACAAATCATCATCCGGATATCAACCTCAAGGACTTCAACGTTACAGCTTACAGCATTGTGGATCCATGTCATCAATCGAAAAGTCGCATCTTCAAGAAAATCAGGTTCAAGGAAATCGTCAAGGCAAAAATCATCCCAATAGATACGAAATCGTTGTATTTTATTAACGCCACGATGCATCCATAAAAACCTATCCAAAGAACTCAACAACTGCTTAAAGCAGGAAACCATATGTGCATCAGAAAATACATCAATATCCAATGAAGGGGTTGACAGATAAAGTTGTTTGCATCTTTTGGACACACAGCCGAAACGAGTGAGGTCTGTGATAGCAAGGAAGGAAAGAATGTGATGAGCAACTCCATCGGGAAGATCACTAATTCTGTCTGTCATAATCTTAGCCAAAGCTCTAACTCCATGACGTTGATAACTTCCAGCTGCCATTAATTTACGATTTCCATCCATACTGATGCACTCACTGGGTTTTATACTTTTACAAGAAAATTGGGTCTTCCATTTTCTGCACTTTTACAAGGATGGTTGAAGAGTTCAGTTAACCAAAGTAAATACAAATACTCAGTTATATTTATACACTGAACTAAAGTAAAGAGAATTTCGCCATGGAACCCTTAATAACATCAGACTTTAGAGAAAAACACATGTGAAAGCTCAATTCTTTAGAGAGAGAGAGAGAGAAAGAAATAAAAAAAAAAAAAAACCCAATACACTTTGTACCACCAAAGGAAATTTCAGAACTACAAATCCAATTATGATCTTGAAGTGCTTTTTCTAATTTACTACTACCTTTCACCCATTAAAAGAAATAATTGATGGGGTCGACAATTCAATCGAAAGATAATGCAATTTTTGCAGCACCAAAAACCCGAAAGAGCCAAAAATAGAAACCCACTTTACCAATTCAACAACTAAAACAATTATTAGATTCACGTACCAGCAAGCATCTTCTTCCTTAAATTTGAAGGACCGATTCGGCACATTGGTGCCCATATCGCGCTCCGGAAACGGGAACACCTCGGTTCGTTTGAGGTACGGCTCGGAACCGGCTGGATCGGCCGGAAACGGCTTGAGATACGGCTTGATTTGTGAATATATGGTGATATGGCTAAAGTTGCAGAGGACTAGAACCCTCGTTGAAGATAGCCTGATTTCGACGATGAAACAGACGACAGCTTTTGCTTTATCAAACACATTTGGTGTTCCAAAATTTTTAATAAGCTGTTTTTTTTTTTAATTTTCCAGAAACCAGTCCATAACTTTGTGATTATCAGTATTATTATTTATTTATTTTTTTTTTTTTTTTAAGATCAACTGGTTGCTTTGTCACGAAATTAATGATTAGCAGTATTAGTTCTAATAATAATAATAATAATAATTAAGCATTATTTACAGAACTGTTCCAATGCAAACCGAGATATAAGATGAAAATGGGGCGAGAAAGTTTTAGTTGAGTACCTTAATAAGTCTTTTGTAATAAACTAGCGAAATTAGGAAATTTTGCAATGTCTACTCTCAACCATCTCCACAACAGTGAATTTGAGGCAAATCAAATTAGATTTTGTAGAATAAGGAAAGTTTTTAGTTTTATCTTTCAAAAATGCTACTCTTACCATTTAATTGTATCATAATTTGTATCATTTTTTTAATAGGAACGTATGTAAACACGAGAAATTCCTGAAACACAAGCGACAAGAATACGTGTACAAAATATATTTTTTGTATTAAAGATTTTGGGGTTACAATCTCTTTGTAATTTGGTCCTCTGATTCTATCTTCGTAGGGTGTGGGTTTGTGGATGAGTGGTTGATCCAAAGGGCCGTCGGGGCTTGATCTAAGGATGCACAGTTGATGAATGGATCTTCAAGGGGCGTTAGGCTTGATCTTGAAGGTTGATGGATGAACGGATCTTCAAGGGCTTTTGGGCTTAATCTTGAAGGATGAACGGATGTGTGGATTTGTTGAGGTTGTTGATCCAAAGGGGCCGTTGGGGCTTGATCTTAGGATGAACGGATCTTCAAGGGCTTCTGGGCTTAATCTTGAAGGATGAACGGATGTGTGGATTTGTTGAGGTTGTTGATCCAAATGGGCCGTTGGGGCTTGATCTTAGGATGAACGGATGTGTGGATTTGTTGAGGTTGTTGATCCAAAGGGGCCGTTGGGGCTTGATCTTAGGATGAACGGATGATGAGCGATGAACACTTTCTTCAAGGGCCGTCGGGGCTTGATCTTGAGTTGGTGGAAGTTCTTCAAGGGCCGTCGGGGCTTGATCTTGAATTGAACGGATGATGAACGATGAACACTTTCCTCAAGGGCCGTCGGGGCTTGATCTTGAGTTGGTGGAAGTTCTTCAAGGGCCGTCGGGGCTTGATCTTAGGATGAACGGATGATGAACGATGAACACTTTCCTCAAGGGCCGTCGGGGCTTGATCTTGAGTTGGTGGAAGTTCTTCAAGGGCCGTCGGGGCTTGATCTTGAATTGAACGGATGATGAACGATGAACACTTTCCTCAAGGGCCGTCGGGGCTTGATCTTGAGTTGGTGGATTTGACGAAGAACGAAGATTGCTTTCTTGATCCTTCGGGATTTGCTTGAGAGCTTTAGAGTTTCAAGGCTTCCTTCTTTCTTCCTTCCTTCTTTTCTTCTTTTCCTTCTTCTTTCTTCCTTCTTCCCCCCCAAAATGAATGCATTGGCCTCCTATTTATAGAATTCCAAAACTTGATTTTTGGATTTAAATAATCAGATGAAATAAATCATTTCTGTCAGGTATTGACACGTGTCATATTTGATGACTTTTCCAATTTATTTCGATTTTTCGTTGAGTCACACGCTACATGTAAAATTTATGTGACACGTGAACGTTGAAATTTTAATTATTGGTCAACATTCATTTCACCGAAATTTTGATGTCTACAACGTAACCCACATGTTTTAACGAATCCTATCTCTACTAGAGAAATAATATAACTAAATGATAAAGTGTAGCATTATTCCTTATTTAAGGTACATGTAATTAAGGGTATGAAAAATGTCCGACCAAGTTCAGAGTGAGGTTCAAGGCTGCCTTGCATCTAGGCCAACTTTGGCTATTCTAGTAAGTTGAACTTGAAAACTCTAACTTACAATACAAATGACGAGGTATAAACAATAGTATTAGTAACTTCATTTTGTAATATTAATTATATACTTTTTTATATGTGTCAAATTATTTTTTGTACATAAATATAAATGCTACCTCATGTGTTATTCTAAATTAAACAGTTTTTACGCTTTAAAAAAGTTATTATACACTCATTTCGGTTTGATTGAGACAATAATACTTGCAGCTTAAGGAAACCGCCATAAGGAAAAGGATTAATTGGTAACATCAAGAAATCCTTGCCACATTAGGAATTATACTCCGATTAGGAAAATGATTTAATTGAAAACCCTATATATACATATTTATACCTTCAAATACTTAATTACCATATTGCACTAAACCTTTGATCATCCCTAGCTTTGTTTACCATATTCTTGTTCTCAAACCATGACCTCAAATCCTCGCCCTACAATAAATATTCGACGTGTTATGGTCGCCCTCATCGCTGGCATCTTTATCAGTATCGTCGCCGTCTACACCGACAATACCGCCCACTACCGCCGTAACACATTTAACGTAACTCATGCCTTTCTCACCGGGCTCAAGCTCACCATCACCAATGGCTTCAACACCCTCCACTATAGTCTTGCCCTCACCGTCTCCGTCCAAAACCCCGACCGCCACTTTCGCCACGAAAACATTCAAGTCGTCGCTTATTACAAGCGCCAAAAGTTTGCCACGGCAAAATTGACTTCTTTTCTCCAAGTGCCGAAGAATACGACTCTTGGGACGCTTTCGTTTGAAGGACAAGTCAGCGGCTTCATTGCCAGCGTTGAAGAAGATGCAGGTGGAGCTTACGAAATCGATGTCGAACTCTCTCTTCGAAACAGTTACTTCTTCATGTCACCTATTAAGTTCTTGTATCCGAATATGCCATCTAGGGTCACGTGTGACTTGAAGGAGAAACTATGTCGTGCAACCAAGAAGAAGTTATGTCCTTTTGCGAATAGGGCGTCCAACGTCCCTCATTAACATGACCAATGGGATCATGGGATCGATGGAGGATGTTCTGTCCTTTTTTACTTAGGGTTTGATTATGTATATTGGATTTTGTTAATTCGTAAGCAAAATGTGTACATTGGATTTTATTAGGAGTGAATTGCCGGTTAAGTTCTTAAATTATTACTCAAGTGAAGATTAAATTTCTGTATTAAAATTTCAAAAAATAAGGCCATAAACTCATTCAAAACTATCAATTTCATCTTTTGAGATTTCAAGCTTTTCATCTAATTCTTGTAAACCATTAGAGACACTGCATGCATAGAACCACATGTATATTACAACATGCATACGTAAATGAAGTATGCTTACCTAAAGAAGAACTCGCCATTGCTACGCGAAATGAGAAAGAGATCTTGTACACTCAACAGCCAAAAGTTCCAGCTTAGAATAGGGTTACGCTCAAAACGGATGGATAATGTGAGTGCAGGACCTTCTAATATATAGTCAATCATCTATGATCTCAAGCCTATTAACCGATGCTCAAGATATTCCATATCAATTAGGATTTTGATATAGTTCTACTTGGTATTGAACTCTCGTCAAAACATGATAAGGTTACTTGAATATAATTGCATGTTATTAGGACTCCTAATCTTAGCCAAGTAAAAACATGATTTTCTCAACGTGATAACTCACAAACTGAATAACAAGTTTGTTGAGAACAAAAAGTCATTTTCCTTGACACTCACAAACTTACAATTCTTTGTATACTTAAATTATGTGGCTTGCTAATAACATACTTTAAAGGATAAATTTATCACGAAAACTAATAATAAAGATTTGAAAACTTTGGATTTTAACGATAAAGGCAAAATAAAAGATAAAATGAATAGTACTAGTATTGATTTTTTTAATGTAAAAACATGATTTTTCGTTAAAGTACCGAAAGTTTTTTTTTTTTTTTTTTTTGAAGTTCCCAAAATTATCACTTGGAAGGCTGTGATCTGACGCTGTCTTAAGGTAACTAGCCTTTTCGCGAGAAATAAGGAATAGCCCTGCACAATGACTGAAAATTTTGACTCAAAACACAGTTACAAAAAAGGTTTTAAACCCTACTAAAAGGGTTTGATATTTTTTTATTGGTTCTTGACCTTGAGGCTTGAGTTATGTTACCGTGGATGGTGGGAAGGGGTTTTGCAAATGGGTTTGTTCTTGCTGCAGATTCATGAAAACATTGGGGCTCAAAAATGTGATAGGGTTAAATAACATCATCATTGAAAGCTCGTCTTGGGATTCATTCAGGGTTGAGTGTTCCTCTTTCTTTCAACTTCAACTATTCAATCTTAAGATCTCTGGTGAGAAACATGAAGAAATAAATATAATCTGGGATATTGATGAGTATCTACCGTTGATGGATAATTCGTTGGAAATTTCTGCTCCCAATCTCAAGTATTTGGAATGGGATGGTAGTATGATGAATCATCAGAATCTGGCGAAGTTGAAGTTGAATGTGGTTACACATCTACACCATTACTTATGCGGTGTGCCTGAATAGGAGCATAATTTGGAGAATTTGAAAACTTTAATAATATCTCATATTCTATTCCGTGATGGGGATATTGGCCTTCAAGTTCAAAAGGTGAAGTTTTCTGCCTACCTTACTGTCCTTGTTATTTTGGTTATTTGGACTAGTTTGATGTAACAATGACACATTTAATATAGTCATTTTTAAGTTCTTTAGACAAATTTATATAGCGCATTCTACTAAATTTAGCTTAAGCTCCTCATCCATACATAGAGCATTTTTACCAAATTGAGCTTAAGTAAGTTCCATGGTACTTTAAAGTTCTTTGTCCTAACAAAGAATTTGAGTTTTGACATATTATATGTGGAATATTTTTTTTGTTGAATTGATTGTTTGTTAATTTTGTAGGCATCTGTATTTGATAAAGGATATCGGTAAAGCCAGAACCTTGATTTAATTTCTCAGCTGAAGGAGGTAACGTTGGAACTATCTTACGGGCCAAATGAATCCGAGTTGCAATGGTTTCGCCTGAACATGCTCGGGATTTGAAGAAAATGGTTGTGGAGGAGTTCAGGAGCGAGAGAAAATCACGATGCGCGGTTGCGCACCACTACTGTCTCGTATTGCTAGCTATCAGAGTTTGTGGTTCCAATGTTGCGATGTCAGGGTTTAGTCACACAATTACGCAAGCAATCGAGTGTTTATCTTGACGAAGTTCTCTGCTTTTACTTCGTACTTTAGTCTGTGATGTGACTGACGGGCCTAGTTTTCTTCTCTGAGGAGCTCCTTGTGCTATATGGCTTATATATCCAATGAAAATAGGTAGACCTA